TGAACACATCCCAATTTGGGGTATGTTAAAAATGAGGGGAAATAACCAATGGCAACAGTAAGACACCATATACGGTAAAATGCACCAGTCTTATTTTCAGAGAAGCCAACCCAAGTATTAGTTAGGGTGAACGGTTAGGGTGCCGTAAAAAAGGAGACACAAGAAAGCAGTGGCATGGAGGACAGAAAGAAGTGTATTTCACAAACAAACAAACAAAACAAAACAAAAAAGAAATGTATTTCTCTCTCACTGACAGCTGTGAGGTGAGAGTCCAGGTGAGTAGGGTAAGGTAGTCACATGCTAGATTCAAGAACCCAGTTCCTTTTATCCTGTTGCTCTGCATCCACTAGGGTGCAACATCTGACATACTTAAAATGATTCACTGTTCATCTGAAATACAAATTTAACTGAGTCTCTTGTGTTTTATCTGGTGAGTCTACAGTAGGACATTGTCTAGTCTACAACCAGCAAAGCTGGGTTCCTGCAGATTACAGCTGGTGAAAGGCAGAAAGAAAATGAGGTGAAGGCATACCAGCTCTCCGGAGGTCTAGGTCCAGAAGTGTCATATACAATTCTGCTCATTTTCCATTGGCAAGAAATTGAATCACATGATTATGCCCAACTGCAAAGGAGACTGGGGAATGTTGGTTAGTTAAATGCCCCCCACCAAAAAAAAAAAAAATGGGTGAGAGGATTACCAGTAGTCTTCACCATAAGAACCCTTTGGATTGATTTTCTATGTCCTTTATTTCTTCTTTTCACATCTGTGTGTTTTTGCTTACATTTTAGGGGCTTTTCTTGATTTTATCTTCCAAGTGGTCTCTTGAATATCTTATTTTAGCTACCGTGTTTAATTTCCAAAAGCTATTTCTTATTTTCCAATTATTCCTTTCCACTAGCAACCTTTCTTGCTTTATGGAGGTAGTATCTTTTCAGATCTTTCTGAGAATATAATTAGAATTTGTAAAGATTCCACTGCGCCATTACTTTGTTTACTAGAGTCACTTATTCTGTTTATCTTCTCTCTCTCTCTCTCTCTCTCTCTTCTTTCTCTCTCTCATCGTCTCTATTTCTATCTTCTCCTCCCTCCCCTTTTCCCTCCCTCTTTCATGCTTCTAGCTATCTTCATAATTCTGGTGCTCCTGGTTGCCTGTTCATGAACTAACAGACAAACTTGATTAATTTTAGTAACTGAGTTGGTTTTCTCTTCTGCTGTATGTTTCCTCTGTTGCTGTATCTGTTTCCCTGATACAGTCACGCTCTTAAATAGGAAGAATGAGTACAGTTTTATGGCATGCTTGACTATAGGGTGGATGATTGTTGGGGGAGGGTTTATAAATGTCAGAATGACAAAAGTTTTATTCTGGTATGCTAACACCACACAAAAACACACTGGATTTTTCCTAGAAATTTATTGGATTTCTATAGAATGACCCTTCTGGGTTCTTGCTATATGTGCATGTGTGTGCACTCATGCACATGTGTTGTGTGTGTGTTGTTTGTCTGGAGGTAAGTGCCAGTCACCCTCCATTCTGGAGATAAGAGGGGGGTGACTGGTGCAAGCTTCTGCATAGACAGACCTACAAACTCCCTAGTTTTTAGGTCCATTTTTTATCTGTCCTCAGTACTTGCTAATTATAAAGTCAGAGCCTCTCTGGAATATTGCCAAAGACTGGCTCTCTCTTCCATTGCCCACTTCTGGGCCATGGCTTCCTTCAGTCTGTTAAGCCATCCTTGTATGTCATCTACTTCCAGAAATTTGCTGATGTCTTTGCACCTGCCACCCTTCTTCCCTGCCATTCTTTTGTTTTAGGGGGGTTATTAGGAAAAAAGGGAGAAAATCACTTGAGCTTAGACTACTGTCTTAAACCTTTAATGTTTACATGCTTTGCAAATCTCTTAAGATATTTATTTTTGCAAATGCTTTATGGGGTGGAACAAGCTGGTAAATGGTGAGGCCTCTTCCGTTGAGTTCCTTAGTATGTGTGTGTATGCAAATTGGCATCAGAGGCTGAGGAAAGCCACACGGCTTTCTATAATAGAGTAAAAACAACCTAGAGTTTCCAGGGAATCTGGGGGAAAGAGGCTAAGAGCAGCAATGGGAGGAAGGAGGAGAGGAAGCTAGTGACATGCCATGATGGAAACCCCTCCCCAAGACTCGCAAAGTCTCAAAGGGATTCTGAATACCTAGAAAGGCAGCATTTCTCGGGCACGTCCACAAAGGTGTTTAACTCTGGGATAGGGCTAATAGGGACAAAACAGTGAAGGTTTGTACAGACCACAGGAACCTTTGACAAGAAGAGACCATAAAGCATAAATCACAGGAACCTGCAGAAATTGTGTGGAGAGTTTGAACTTTCCCTTCCATGAAACTGGCAAGGCTCTGGGCCAAAGCTACAGAGCTCTCATGGGTTAGGAAAGCCCCATTTAGCCCCTGCTAACACGGAAACCCCAGGCCATGAACTTGGTCAAAAAAGGGCAAATGAGATTGGTCAGCAAATTATGTCCCATGATCAAAGCAGATGCCTTGTACATTGGTCCTGGGTCTTACTAGCAGCAAAGACTCCCCAAAGGTCACAGTATGTGTCACTAAGGTTGCAAGGATAATGATACCAAGCTCCCCAGACTGAGAGGAGACAGGCAGACCTGGCTTGGTCATGGGTATAAAGAAAAGCTTGGCCTTGGGATCAGACGTACCTGATTTGAATCCCAGCTCAGTCATTTGGTTGGGTCGTTTAACCTCTCAGAATTTTCTTATCTTGAAAATGTGGATACTGCTGCCTTGGAGGATAGTTAGAGATCAAAGGTAAGAGATGTTCAATAACTGTTGCTCAGCAGATGCTTGATAGATGGCGACCTTTATTATGAAGGTGTGTGAGCATTCATACATGTCAGTTTGTCTGACTCTGTGCTTAAAATACGGAGATTTTCAAGAAGCAGGGAAATGTATGTGAAATAAAAGTGCTTTGTAAACTGTAAAGTGCCATACAAATGTCAGGGAATCATTTGGGAAGTCTTCCATAGTTGGAAAAAATACAGGTTTTGGATCTGGGCAGAAGTAGGTTCAGTTCCTGACCCTGCCATTTACTTGCCATGTAATCTTGGCTAAGTCATTTTCTGTCAGCCTGTTTCTGCCATTGTCAAATGTGCGTAAGTCTAACTTCACAGGGTTGTTGTGAGAATTCAGTGGGATGAAGAGTGGAAAGCTCCTGGGCACATCCCTTCCTGGGTGGGTGGCAAGGTCCCATGTGATACGTCAGGTTATGGGCAGTGTCAGTGCCAAGCCTGATGCCAGTCTCATCCTGTCAACTGTCTACCTATGAAGAGGACCCTTCACTCCAGAGCAGGACCCCAGACTGGCAAGAAGTAGAGAGGGGTCTTTTGTATTTCTTGGAGGAAATCTGGTGAACACTAAACTTATATATAGAAAGCACTGAAATCTGCAGTATGGAACCAGGCCTAAACCGGGGCAGGAAGCGGGAATGATTCCTGCTAAGTTGTCCCAGATTTGAGCACTAACTTATTGCTCCTAAGGGCAGACTCTCATTATGGGTTCATCTTATCCCACCCTTCAACCCCTACTCCCTGCCACTGTCATTTTTCCTAGGCACAAATAAGTGCTCAATAAAGAGTCTAAAGTTGAGCATGCCCGGTGTGGGCCCGGGCTGTGGGTTCGATCCCCAGTGTGGGGCGTGCAGGAGGCAGCCGATCAATGCTTCTCACTCATCATTGATGTTCCTATTTCTCCCTTCCTCTCTGAAATCAATAAAAAGATAGGTATTTTTTAAATGGTCTAAAGTTGAAAAGGTGGCACTAACTTCCTACAGAGCAAATTGTCCAGGGTCCCATCAAGAGGCCATACTAGCTCCCACCTCCAGGCAATCCCTTGGACCCAGGTCAGCCCCCTAAGAGGCTCCTTCTTCAAAGCCAACAAGGTGAATGTAATGAAAAGAACATCATCTTAGAACCAAAGGAGGCCCAAGCTTGAACTCTGGTTCTACCACATACCTTCTGTGTGACTTCACAGCAAGTGACTTCCCTTTTCCTCACTTCTGTTTCATTTTATTCCCTTGAGGGTGGCTGTAACAACTAAATGAAATAAAGAATGGAAATGGGAGCCCTGGCTGGTTTGGCTTAGTGGATAGAGCGTCAGCCTGAGGACTGAAGAGTTCGATTCTGGTCAAGGGCACATGCCCGGGTTGCAGGCTCAATCCCTGGTGGGGGGCATGCAGGAGGCGGCCGATCAATGATTCTCTCTCATCATTGATGTTTCTATCTCCCTCTTGCTCTCCTTTCCTCTCTGAAATCAACAAAAATGTGTATTTTTTTTAAAAAAATGGAAACGTGACTGGTAGCCCTAGCCAGTTTGGTTTAGTCACTAAACCAAGTGGTTCTCAACCTTCCTAATGCCGCAACCCTTCAATACAGTTCCTCATGTTGTGGTGACCCCCAACCATAAAATTATTTTCGTTGCTACTTCATAACGGTGATTTTGCTACTGTTATGAACTGTAATGTAAATATCTGATATGCTATATGTGTTTTCCGATGGTCACGACCCACAGAACCGCTGGTGGTGGAGCGTCAGCCTGTGGACAAAAGGATCCCAAGTTTGATTCTAGTCAAGGGCACATGCCTGGGTTGTGGGCTCGATCCCCAGTGAGGGGTGTGCAGGAAGCAGCCGATCAATGATTCTCTCACCACTGATGTTTCTCTCTCTCTCTCCCTCTCCCTTCCTCTCTGAATTCAATAAAATATATTTTTTTTAAAGAAAAGAAATGTGACTGGTAGAATCTATGGCATTTGGTGAGTGCTCAATTAATGTTAATTCCTTTCCTTTCTCCTTTCTCCCCAAAGGCCCAGAGAGACTTAGCCTGCTTCCCTTTGCTTTTCTGAGCAACCACCCATCTTGTCTTTGTTGAAATTCAACTCTCTTTCAGAGTAGCTGCAGAGAGACCAGCTCCCCACTTCTTTGATGCCCCCAAATAAGTACACAGGTCCTTTTCATTGAAGGGTTTTACTGCTGGTCACTCAGGGAACAGATGCAGGTTGGGAGAGGGATAACAAGTCACACACATGGGGAGTGTGAAGGTCCCTAGATCATGGCTCCCTGAGGGCTTCCCCTCCATTTCTAAGGCAGGACCCCCTCTCCAGGCCAAGGAGGCTCCGTCCACTGGGAAGACAGCTCCTCCCAGCCCAGCTGGAGCACAGTGGACAGAAATAGCAGGCCACTGCAATGGGCCCTCAGCAGTTCATACACAATGTGGTGCCCATCGCACAGGTATTTCCTCAAAGGCCGGGGACAGCTGCCCTAATAATGTGAGCATTTACTAAACCTACCCTATTTCTCTTTCACCCCAAGGAGATGAAACCAAGACCAGATCCTCTGACTTTCCAAGGCAAAATATCGGCTTGGAAAGGGGCAAAGGTTTTCACTCAGAGTCCCTTCTCAGGACTTGCTGGAGATCCTGGCTTCAGAGGCAACAGGAACCATTCTCCAAAGTGGGGTGAAGGGCCTGAGGTCAAGGGGCAGCAGCAGATTCTAAAGATCTTCCTACACTACGTTGAGGTCTCTCCCTCACTCACTCCTTCAGCCGGAATCTTTCCCAGCCTGCTCTCCCATGTGCGTTTTCTGGTGGCGGATGAGATTTGAGCTCCGAGAGAAGTGTTTCCCACACAGAGTGCACCGGTAGGGCTTCTCCCCTCTGTGAGTCCTCTGGTGTGCTCCAAAGTTGGAGATATCGCTGAAGGTCCGCCCACATTCGGTGCACTCATAAGGCCTCTCACCTGTGTGGGTGCGGTGGTGCACCCCAAAGCTGGAGCTGTTGCTGAAGCTCTTCCCACACTCACAGCAGATGTAGGGTGCCGGCTCGAGGTGGGTCCGGTGATGCACGGCCAGCGTGGCACTCTGGCTGAAGCTCTTGCCACAGATGTCACAGTGGTACGGCCGCTTGCCCAGGTGATCTTGCTGGTGTGTGGTGAGATCCGAGCGCCGCCGAAAGCTCTCCTGACACTTGGGACATTTGTAGTGCTTCTCCTCCAGGTGGATCCGCTCGTGCCGGATGCGGTTGGAGCTTCTCGAGAAGCTCTTGCCACATTCAGAGCATTTGTAAGGCTTCTCACCCGTGTGGATCCGCTGGTGTGTTCTCAGGTTGGAGGTGTTATTGAAGGTTTTGCCACACTGGGCACATATAAAGGGCTTCTCATCGGCCTCAAGTCTTGAAAGGACAACGGGGTCCCCTGGCTCTCCAGTGGGGACACTGGCTTTCTGCCAGGGCTTTTGGGGATGGATCCCTTGTGGTCTCTCTGACAGGCTCTCTTGCCCATGCTCTTTCTCCCCATCTGGGATCCGAAAACCCTCTGGGTCGTCCGCTCTCCAAGGCTTACCCCTCTCCCTTTCCTCAGGCAGGTGCTGTTCTGGATTCTGCTCCTTCTCACTGCCCATCTCTGAACCCTGAGAACGAACACAAATGGCCAACACCTTTATTCCTTGGGCCAGGCCAAGCCACGGGGAATCTTGTTCTGTTTGAAGAGGGATACACCTTCCCCCTGGAACCAGCCATCAGAAGTAACCTCAATTAATGGGAAAATTTGCATAGAATGCCTTTACTTACTAACTTTCAAGTGAACAAACTTCCAGATATTTAAAGCTACCAAACCAGAATGAAAAGGAACCATTTTGTCCACCACCACAGATCGTATTTGTGCAATTGAATAATATCATTTTTCTTCATACCACTAAACGATACAGTCCACACTATAATTTATGTGCAAGTGAAGGACTTCCATTCAGTTCTTCTGACTAACTGTAAGTTAACTGAAACTTGTGTTTATATCTTTTTTTAACCTTCCTTAAAAGTATCCATCTGTGCCTGCTTTCAAAATGAACATAGCAGAACCTCTCATTCTCGAGGCTCTCCTGGTTGTTTACAAGGCCCAGCTCTGAATCCTCTTAGGTGTTATGTACCCTTCCCTTCCTCGGACCTCACTATAATCCAGCAAGTAACGAATTAACATCTGAGACCTCTGAGACCTACTGCAGGGACTGGGCCGTGTCTGTTCTCATTGGTCAGTACACACTTCCATTCTCAAACACCATACAGAAGCACATGCACACACACATGCTCACACCATATGCACAGCCATACTCACATTCCAGACACACTCAGCCACCTCACACCACACATACATACCACAGTCACACATACACCACACTCTCACAGCACATACAGCCACACACATGCATATCATATACACCATTCACAGTCCTCCCACACATACAGTCACATAACTGGCTACGTACTCACACACATACAGCTATACTCTTATACCACATGCAATCTCACACACATATACACAGCCATACACTCACATGCTACATACACACAAAGACAAGAGACAAGACACAAAAATCACACACACACACAAAGCTATACACACGGACACACAAACCACACACACACACACACACACACACCACTCCCCTCACACATAGCTACATACACACATGGTGACGAGCACAGAGCCTACTTATGCAAACATCAGTAAATGCTTGCTAAGCTGCATACATTCTTTCGAGGTCCTACAGCCAAGAACAGAGAATGACGGGAAGAAAAAGTACTTCTTATATGAGGAGAGTGTGGTGTTTCCTCTGCCTTGGAGAAATAACATTTCAAAAGGCAGAGCGGGCTGCTAAAGATGCAGTAGAGACATGAACAAAGGGTGAGGGAGGGAAGCACACACTATGAGAGGCCCTGATGATAAAATGAAAGACTGATACTTCCTTCAGGTCAGCAAGTATTTTTGGAAAACAGCAACATAAAGTAACAGAAGTGACACTGACTACATTTAGGATTGGATCCCAGTGGTGACACATATTCTCTTTAAAATTCTGCAAACTATTCAACCACTCTGAGCCTCAGCTCCCACATCGCTAAAACTGATGACCTACCTACACTGCGTTAGAGAAGATGGCAAGGCATGCTCAGTGTAGTGGGTGGTATGTACTCGTCATTCAGAAAACGACAGCTACTGTTACAGTTGTTGAAGGCACTGTGTTCCTAGACCTGTGAAGAATACAAGAATGGAAAAGATCCCTTCAGTGATCTTGTTAGGAAAAAAACATTTTTTAATTGCAAAATGGTACAAGAACGCCCGGTTAGGTGGCTCAGTTGGTTGGAGCGTTGTCCCATACACCAAAAGGTGACGGGTTCGGGTACGATTTCCAGTCAGAGCACATACCCAGGTTATGGGTTCCATCCCCAGTCAGAGCACATACAGGAGGCGACTGATCAATGTTTCTCTGACACACCAATGTTTCTCTCTCTCTCCCCTTCTCACCCTCCCTCCCTCCTTTTCCCTTCCTCTCTCTAAAATCACAAAAACATATCCTTGAGTGAGGATTTTTAAAAATGGTACAAGACTGTATATAATCTAAATTATAAAATATGGACAGAGCCTCAAATCTTTAAGTAGGATCAGAAAACTTTTTCTGTAAAGGGCCAGAGAGTAAATATTTAGTAAATATTTGGGGCCACAGAATCTCTGTTGCAACTCTGCTGTTGTATTATAAAAGCAGCCATAGATAATCAAAACCAATGTGTCTGAATAAAACGTTATTTATAAGCAAAAGGAGGCCAGCTTAGTTTACCAATCTCTGTTAGAAAGTGTTTCTTGAAGAACCTAGCTAAGCAATGTGAAAGATAGGCTTGCTTCACTTTCAAACATGCAGCTAAACATCAGAAAGTTTATTCCTTGATACTTATTCACTGTTTCCTGACCATCCTTTTAAAAATCACACCCCCCCACACACACTTCCAGTCCCTGTGCCCAACAATACTTCTCACAATCTAACATTGCATTTATTTATATGTCTTTTCTATATGATCTGCCTCCCTACTCCCTGCTAAAATGTAAGTCCCATGAGGGCCAGGGTCTCTATTTTTCATTCACTAATGTAACTTCAACTCCTAGAGTACTGGCGGTCAGATAGAGTAGATCCTTAATAAATATTTGTTGGGTGAGTTGAGTAAATGAAGGCGAGGCCTGCCTCCAGAGCCCATGGCGTGCTGGTGTCCATTCTTGCCCACTGTCCCTCGGCAATCTCTTCCTTCCTCCCATTTCCTCCTTTAAGACCCCACAGGATCTTGTACTTGCTTTTACAGTGATTTGTAATTACAGTGTAACCATTTACATGTCTGTGTCCACTAGAAGTTTACAAGTAACTTGAGGGTAGGACTGGATCATTCTGATAATCTCTTCCCAGTACAAGGCCCAGTGCTCAAATGTTGTTAAATGTGGTTGAATATGTCCTTAAGTCACTCCCCACCCCTGCCCACCTCACCAAGGGCTCCATGCCATAAGCTACACAGCCTCCACTCACTTCGAATCCTGCTACTCTGAGAACTTACTAGTATACTTTACCAAGCTGATTCTACCCAGGTCTGAATGCTGGGTCAAAATAAGAGCAAAAGGATTTAGGATTGTGGTTACTACCCTCAAACAGTTTATGGTTCAGTGCAGCGAAATGGGCCATGAACTCCAGAAACTCTTGTACAGTAGAAGGTTAAGTTCCAGGGGGACGGGGACTGTGCCTTAGTCGCCTTTGTATCCACTCCTCAGTGCCTGGTACAGCACCTGGCACATTTTACAGGAACCAACAATAATAATAGTTAACAATTGTTAAGCTCATTCCAAGTGCTAGGCCATGGACTAATCACTAAATATGAATCGTCCCCTTTCATTCTCACAACTTATTTTAGAGATGAGGAAACTGAGGCTCAGAGAATGGCAGAACTAGGACCGATGCCCATCATTCCAAAGCCAGTGCCACACTAGCGTGGAAGGGAGAGAGAGAAAGGGAGAGAGAGGGAGGGAGAGAGGGAAGAAAGAAGGAGAGAGGGGGAAAGGGAGGAGAGAAGGAGGGAAGGGGGGAGAAAGGAGGGCGGAAAGAGAGAGGAAAAAACAGTGCCACAGGGTTTCAAAAGACAGGGGCATACTTCCCTGAAGAGGTCAGGGATGAGCAGCTTCATGAAAAAGGTGGAGTTCCAGCTGGGCTTGCAGGATGGGCATGACTGGGACTCACAGAGAGGGGAATCCACCATCTACTGAAAAGGCAGTGGCCGGTAAAGCGCAGAGGCACTTTCCTATCACATTTCAGAGATTTGGGTGAGAAAGGGACCCATCCCTCTTATCTTCCCCCTTGTCTTCCCGGAGGCTCAGAGGTACAAGGAGGACCAAAGGTGGAAGGGACTCTGGCAGTGGAGGAGGAGCCAGGTCTAAACAGAGCCAAGATGAGGCTGGTCAGATGCTCAAGTTCAAAGGCCAGGACTAGAGGGAAGAGACCAAGCTGGAAGTTGGGGTGAAGGGCCAAAGTTTGGGTTCTTTCGGGTTAAATGGAGAACTGGGGGAAGAAGGGGTAGAGGAACTTGGAAAGACCAGAGAAGAGGAACTGCACAGTGTCGGAGACAGAGGAGGATCAAAGGAGTCGGAGAGTCAGAGAAGATGGTCAGGAGACAGCGCGCACACGCTGCAATCGGAGGTGTCGGGGGACCGCGGCCAAGAGGCTGGGTTGTGCGTTGTGGGTCGGGGAGAAGCCCACGACGGAGTCTGAGGGTACGAGAGCTCTGGAGGACAGGGGCTGGGTTCGGAGTTGCTGCAGGGCTTGGGGCCGGAGGGGTGGGATAGGTGGGGCTGAGCCCAAAGGTATGGTCAGTGGCAGGGGGGCTGGAGTCCTCAAAGGCCAACAGGAGAAGGGCCCGAAGGTCAGGGCTGGAGCCAGCAGGCTGGCGCGCGGGCCGGGGAGGACCGGGGTCGGGATCACAGGGCCCTATTTGCTCCCCACTGGGTCCGGGGAGCAAAGCCACAACCTCCGGCTTCCCGGAGAGATGGAAGGAGCCATGCTCAGCGTCCCCGCGAAAACATGTCTACCTCCCCCCGTGTCCGCGGGCCCAACCCGAACCCACCTCGCTCCCGCCGCCTGGTCAGGGACAGCGCTGCCTCGCTGAGCCGGGGAGGAGCCGGAGCCGGAACCCAGAAAGGACCCACCCTGCCTTTCCAGGATTGGCTCCTGAGAATTGCCTTTCTTTTCCATTGGCTCTACTTGCTGCCATAACGCAAGAAACCCGAGCGGGCCCGCCAATCAGCTGTGAACTCGGTGGTGGATTGCTGGGAGTTGTAGTCCTGAAGAAGATCGTAGCCTCGGAGAAGAAATGTGCCAAGTTTGGAACCCAGCCTGGACGCTGGGTTTCCTCCTAAGGTCGTCAGATTTCCTTCTGTGCTTCAGCGTTAAAAGCCCCATGTAGGGCCACTAGCCTGCGAGTTGTAGGCTATGTAGAGCTAACCTACATGACCTCCATGAGTTGGTGACTCTTACTGGTCCTGAAGACGTTCCCCTAAGCCTAGAGTCCTGAGCCTCAGTCGAAGTTCATAGAGGTTCAAAATTTAAAGTCAAAGGATTGTGGAACTGGAAGGGAGTTTAGAGATCAACCAGCCCAATCCACTTATCAGAGAAGCTAAACCTTCCCTGTCCTAAGACCTCCAGGTCTCCTAACACCGCCGCACATGGATTTTTCTGCGTCCTATGTAGTTAAACCTGACTGTTCATCAATCCTGACAGAACAAGCCCACTAATGTATATCCAAGATTGGGATTTTTTTTTTTTTTTAGGTTTCACCTTTTTAAAAAAGTTTTATTGAAAAAGTAGGCTAAAATTCTACAGGCTTCTCATATCGGCACGCTATTTCAGTGCAAGAGTATTGTTAAAGTCAAAGGATTGTGGAACTGGAAGGGAGTTTAGAGATCAACCAGCCCAATCCACTTATCAGAGAAGCTAAACCTTCCCTGTCCTAAGACCTCCAGGTCTCCTAACACCGCCGCACATGGATTTTTCTGCGTCCTATGTAGTTAAACCTGACTGTTCATCAATCCTGACAGAACAAGCCCACTAATGTATATCCAAGATTGGGATTTTTTTTTTTTTTTTAGGTTTCACCTTTTTAAAAAAGTCTAATTGAATAAGTAGGCTAAAATTCTACAGGCTTCTCATATCGGCACGCTATTTCAGTGCAAAGAGTATTGACTTGAGAGCTAAGTAAACCAGATCTATAATCCCAGTTCTAGCACCTAGCCATTGGAGCAGCATTTTCCTCCCCTGTAAAGTCCCTGGCAGAATTGTCGGAAGCTATAGCAAGCTTCTGCCCCCACAAATGTCAGGTCTCTTTCCTGGTGGTAAATTCTCTGGGTGCATCCAGTGTGGACAATGTTCGTTTTACAATTGGGATATTCAGGGAAGTGGATTTGAAACTGAATATGGATGAGTGAAATATCAATACCCCACTATAAATATACTATTTGTTTATAAATTGATTTAAATAAAATGCTAAGAAGACAGACTCCAGTTTTTGTTGGGTAGAACTGAGTACCCATCTGAAAATTAATAGCTAATATCTCTATCAGAAATAGAACTGTAGCTTTATTTTTAACTGTGGTTAAAGCTTGCTTGAGTGGATTCCAGGCTGTTTGGAAACCAATCCCATAATGTGTTTTTCCTCTTATCAGCCCAAAGCCTTTTCCTACAACTTTTCATTCACAATGAAAATAACAACAATGAATACCAAACTTTTATTTAAGAACTGTACAAAAGCAAATAAAAATTTCTACTTGGGCCCTGGCTGGTGTGGCTCAGTTGGTTGAAGTGTCATCCCATACAACAAAAGGTGGCGGGTTCGATTCCTAGTCAGGGCACATACCCAGGTTTGAGTTTAATCACCAGTCAGTATGCATACTGGAGGCATTGGTATGGCTGTCTGTCTCACA